AGTCATATGGAAGCAGAAAAATTACTGACTTCTATCCATGTTCCGTTAATGGGCACTACTTCAATCATGCATGTATTATCGTTGTGCTTTCTGTACTTGGCACAGGAAGTGCTGGCCAGCAGTAATGTTAGACGTACACATTCCAGTTTAACATGTTTTTGGGTATCTGCGAATTAATCATCATTTTACCTGTAATGCCACTTCGATCACTTGGACCTGACAGTAACCGGCGAGGACTTACGCCTGCCGCAACACATCCGCCATTCCTCGCGGTTCCGCTGTTTCTCCCTCCAAGCGCGACTTTCCCGGATCCTGACACGATCTTCCCACCTTCGTGGTTGGCGACGGATGAGGATCCGAGGGCAGGCCAGTCGGCGACCATCACTCAGCATTTGCCGTCGGTGAGCTGAACTATGTGCCGAGCCACTGTAAATTCTCCCTTCTGCTTTCGACGACAAACTTTTTCCCTCCCATCGTAGGCTGATCACTGTGTTGGGAATATGCTCGCCCTTGCACAATTTGCTAGGCGTCATTTTGAAAGACGACCAGGTTTAAAATTCCGTCGATCTAAGTTCCAGCGTGCGCCTGAATACTTTTCTATTTCACTGTAGTGTCACGACGTGGCCGTGCTTGTACGTTCGAGGGGTGAGGTATTGCAGGATCTTGAAAGAGGACAGAACTGCTTCTTGGTCGTCAGTAGCTCGAACCGGTTCCGTGAAATGCATGCTGAATACCCAAACAAAAAAATGAAATCGGTGACAACGCTAGGCACAACTCAAATAGTTACAATAATCAGTATTTTTTGATCCATTAATAGAGTAACACTTATCTAAGACTTTGCCATAAACATTCGTTTTTTTAAATTTTTATCCATCTTGATCAAACGAACTTCTTCAGTTTGTCCTGCCATCGATCTGGCGTAACTCCTACGAGCCGTTCACTCTCCCATGAAGCGCAGTCTAATATCTCTCTGGTCCAATGATGAGCGGCTCCTCTTGCAGAATGCCCTGCCCACTGCTAGTTCAACTTTTAAACTAGTGCAATGGCACTGCAACGCTTGTGCTCTTACCCATTCATTCGTTTTCCAATCATTTTCTTATTCTTCCCAGCATACATCTTTCGAAGATGCGTTGCGTACATTTTAAAAAACAAAGCATTATATCTGGACAACAGAAAAATTGAAATTATTCCTAATTTAAATTAAAAAATGTCAAAATAAATGTTTTGAACGACAGTACGGAAAACATTCAAATTCCAACTTTTTAATCCATACCGCAGTATCAAGCAATTTCAAACTTTGCTGTATTTTCTGCTCGTCTCCATGTAATATGCACTTTTCTGAAAAGCTTAAAAATCAGTACGAATTACTTGCCATGGTAATCAATTTGAACAATGTACATGATTCAGATCAAAAGGTGTTCACACTCTTTATTACCTACATTTGTTGTTATTATCAGGTTGGAAAGATCGACAGCAAATTTCCGGTCGTTGAGGCGCACTATAAGCAATGCCTGAAGGTAGCCTGGTACCCGTTCAACGACTGCTTCGTGGCCAGCTGTTCCGACGACGGAACGGCAAAGGTGTGGCGGGTAAGCGGCACACGCGCAGCTCAGTGCCACGGTAACAATTGATGCGCAGGTACCTGAAGGAGGATTGCAACACACACTTACCGAACCGATTTCAGTGCTGGCAGCACACGCCAAACGGGTGCTGACCATCGTTTGGCACCCGACAGCACAAAACGTTTTGCTCAGTGCAGGTTCCGTCGTCGCGCGACACTTCGCTGGTCGTGACAGTAGCTGCATCGATGCGTTTAGGTGATGACTTGAAAATCTTCATTTGGGACGTGCGTACGTCCGAACCGCTGATTGAGATCGACGGGCACCCCGATATGATATGGTCAGTGGCATTCAACTACAATGGTAGTCTGATAATTACAGCCTGCAGAGATAGGATCATCCGCGTCATCGAGCCTCGATCTGGCCTACTTATGCAAGTAACGACCGTGATAGTCATTCTTTGTCACACATACCGCTTCCACCGTCGATCGCCTGTTTGTTTCAGGACGTACCAGCGAAGAACGACGAAAAAATACAAAAGTCCCTGTTTTTGAGTAACGGAAAAATTTTGACTGCCGGTCTGACGAGAAACAATAAACGGCTTTTCTCGGTCAGGGACGAAAGCGCGATCGACAATGCGATCGCCAGCGAAGAACTGGATATGAACAGCGGAACAGTGGTACCTTTCTATGACGCAGATACGGGCTTGCTCTTTGTTTGTGGAAGGGTGAGTAAAATTGAGGTTGAAACTGCCATAACGGTATTCATTCAGTAATTATTGAACATGAGCTTTTGAAGGCGCCAATTTCTGGTAGTTTTAATTCTAATTACTTTGACTGAGTTTGGGAAATCAGCCACATCATACAAGGTACCTTAAATGTTAGAGAATATCATTGGATCTTAGCAAAATTATTCCATCCATCGTTTAAATCAACCGCAGTCATAGGTAGCTGACAATTACTGCTGCACAGGGGCACATACGAGTGGATTCATTGTACTTTCACCTTTTTAAATGTTGATATTCATAAACAAAAGTGCCAGAAAGACAAAAATAGGCAATTAAGGCCCCAGTATCGAAACTTTTTCACCCTTATGAGCTTAGTGCTGACAAATGTCTTTTATCGTAGCTTTTGTCGAAAGCGTTTTGACTTGGTTCTGTTGCGAATTGTGAGATCTGCAATCCAGGCTAATTCATTAGCAAGTCCGAGTTGTGACACTGATCTTGCGCAATAATAAACTCCTTGTAATATACAGATGGTAAAACGACGTCTCATGTGGCGCTGTAGAACACAATTTTGACCTTTTCACACCTTCTGAAATGTATCTGTCAACCAAGGGCGTCCAGACGTATTCAGTGCCAAGCCATGTGTATTCATCCTGTCTTTCATTAATTAATTCATTCAGTTTCAAAGCTTGCCACTTTTTGCAGATCGCTAGAATACCAGTTTCAACAGTTTTTTCAACGGTTTTGATCCATCGCCAAGCCCTTCGTTCGGGAATTCAAATAACCAAAATGTCAGATCTTCTATACAGTGGATTCACCTGGTTTCGTTCTGTCTGTGGCTGTAATCACTATGGCTTGGCCGTTATAGTGTCCTGGAAAGTATCTCCTGCATCTAAACTTTTTAAGTGCTTCACGAAAAAAATTTTAACTTCGGAACTAATATATATTCATGTTTCTTATTCCAGTGGAATTTACAGGAATTCCTTTATTTTGTTGCGAGAGAAGAGTCTTTTGCCACGACCTTTGTCGACTTGGTCAGGTCATCTTCGCAACAGATCCCAAATTCATTTTTTCAGGTAAGGCATGCCATTTTCTCTACTCTGGAAAAAATTCAGCACTCTTGCTCCCATTTTAAGGACAACACAAGCTATTAAAGGTCCATTATTCGGCCATACAGCAAAAATAATGATAATATGTAGTGTCAGTTTGCCACGGTATTCAAAAATGTCTGTAAAATCCAGTAATTCCAGTCTCATAATACATCACTCGGAGGTCCCACTTCAGGGATCGGTGGAGCTCTAGGTGAAAAAGAAGCATGTTTCTGTCAAATGACGCATAAAGTTTCGAGACTTTATATCTACCAAGTATCGTCTTTTCTCTCTCTCAGTTGTGATTCCGTGATGCCACGTCATTCTATTTTAATACATATCATTACTTACCTCTTTACTTGCTGCGATCTACCGAATTATTTAAGAGAGCAAAGGAAAAATCACGCGCTGAGATCAAGAGGCACCAGAATCTTCTTCATGCTGTTCATTTTAGCGTTTATTTTTAAGCACCCTGTTTTTAGGGCGACAGTTTCGTCCGGTACTACGAAATCAACGATGAGCAGCCGTTCATTCATTACATTAATACCTATCGCAGCATAGATCCGCAAAGAAGTGCGGCGTTCATGCCGAAACGGGGGCTCAATGTATATCAAAACGAAATTGCTAGGTACAGTTAAATCCAACTTTTGATGCTCAGGCGGTACGAAACACCGTTTTTTTCAGAATATACAAGTGTATTAGTCGTGGTACGATCCAGGTGTTGCATTTCTACGTTCCCAGGTGGACGAAGGGCTTCCAAGATGACCTTTACCCTGACACGAACGGCACCATTCCGGCGATAACCAGTGAAGAATGGATAAACGGCAAAGACGCTGATCCGGTGAAAGTAAGTGCTTGAGTTCTTGCCATTGCACTAAGATTTATTTTACTGTATTATGGTGCAACAGACTTCGGATGAAGTTTGAAAAAGAAACAACCACCTTCTAGCTGCAGTTTAGCGATTAAACAGCTTATCTGTATTTAATATTACAGTAAAAATGATAATGATGCTGTGCACAGTGTAAAGAAAAAAATTAATTTTTAACTTTACCTCAGCAGCTGATTGCACCGTCCCGTTGCTTCTAGACGCCTAGGGGGCCAATTTAAGCAAGCCGCGTCTCTATGGTATTTAAGCGCCTGCAGTGCATAGGACGTAGAACCGTGTCTCGAACAACAACACTCCCACGATTCGTAGGAGAAAGAATGACAGAATGGAATGGAATTCCATTCTATATTTAATATTCTTCGTCGTTGAAATCTGAAGTTTTTATTGCTTGAAACGCTTCACTAGCGAAACCTACTCTTCGGCATCGATGAGAAAGAAAATGAAAGGTAACAAATGAATAATAGTCATAGAACAAAACAATATTACTAAATACAAACTATTAACGAAATTTCCATAATCGAGTTTGTGTGCGGCAGAGACTAACGTTTTAAAAAAAACCAATTTCCGTCCGAGTATTCATTCTGGAATCACCGGTTGGAACCGATAACCAAAAATTGCTACTCGAAGAATGATTTGAAATAACAGTAAAGCGCTGTGCACTTGACATGAAGAAAATCGAAGCTTTCGACCGAATCCGTAGAGGTCATCCCATCGCCGTTGGAACTGGTAGCGGAATTATTTAATGGGAGGGGGGACAACTGCTGCCTCGTCACACTGCTCTGGTCTGACCATGTCGGATTTTAAACAGTTTTCATGGTGTTCGAACTGTTCACCTTCTAGCACTACCATAAAATTGCCCATTCGTCTTATTCTCTGCCTATTTTGCATCTGACGCGCTTGTCTGACGGTTCTTCTACCATGCACTGATCAACAGCAGATCTTGCCTCTGCAAGGAGCAAAATTGACAGAAATTTGGCCTATTTCTGGATCTAAAACTTTAGGCAGACAGAACAGCGTGTTGAGCGCGACATGAGACCTGAAGCTAGGCTGAGTCAAGTCAAGTAATTAGCTTTTGCTCAAATTTTGTTATCAGCCTTGGAGGATAATTGTCATTAAAATTAGTATTTCTTTATAATGCTACGAAGGATTCTGAAGCACTCGCACACAGAAACACCAAAAGCTAACGATAGATGAGGATATCATGTAGATACAATTGCCCTTGTACGTCAGGCTCAGAAGCCTTGAGAGGAATAGTTAAATTGATCGCCCGTAAAGTGCATTAATGGATAGCAGGGAACTGACCGACTGAGTGCATGACGTCATCAAGCAGTTATCCGTTATTCGACTTATTTTTGGGTGTGCCATAAGCACTGATTGACGCCCCTCAAACATCCCTCTTGTACGGATTCTTGCTATGCCGCTTACC